ATAAAGTATGCAACATTAAGTGTGAACACCTCGACTTGACTGGATAGTTATCTGCTGCATGAAGAGGACACAATTTGTTAGTATGTGCTCACCTCAACTCAACTGAACAAGAAATTACTGCAGAAGGAGGGTATGTGTGTACAGAGTGTACTCATCTTGACTCTACCAAACACAAATGACTACAGGAAGAAGGCATGTTATAGTGGTGCATGCTCACCTAGACTCTAGTAGGCAGTCACAGCCTGCAGAAGTAAGGCACAGTATCGTTTGATGTGCTTCTGAGATGTTGTAGGTATAACTAGATGAGGGCTGACCTGCACTATACTGACAGTGTCACCACCACATTTCCCACTGAATGGCAACCCTTTTTCTAGCCCCAGCAGTTAGGTCCCAATCAGTGAGGGTTCATCATGATCCACCACCCCAGAAGCTAGGAACTGGTAGGTGGTAAGGGTCTCCCATGATCCACTCACAGGAAAAGGGGGAAGAATTCACAGCGGGGAGACCTGAAGAAAATGCCTGGATTCACATTAGTCTTGTTTCAGCTGGAAAGGTCATTTACTGGAATCAGTGCAACAGGTGACTGTGTAACCCTATTTTGAAAAGCCAGCAAGTGCTAGCCAAGGAAGAAGGCAGAGTACCCCATGGTGATGGCTTTTCCAATTATAGTAAGGGTCTGAATCAGACACTAGTCAGATATAAGAATATACCACAAAAAAAAAATACCACAACGATACCTCACATGGTATTGTAGAACACAACATCTCAAAAGTGTGCTGACATGGAGCCTAACTGGATGGTATGACCATTTTTCATTATCCTGGCTCAATGCACAAACTGCGGAATAAATGTACCTTGGAGGCACCTCAGCATCTTGGTGTTATCCAGTAAGCAAATGCTATAATCAGAAAGGGAATGTACTCACCAGTCTAAAAATGGTTGGTAGACTGTATGATGGTGAACAGAGGTGAGACAGCCAGATGAAGAGCAGGCGATGAAGCTATACAAGGTGGTCTACATGCCAGCTTGAAGGATCTCCAGCAGCCATCAGAAATGAGAAGCAAGGGAATGAGAGATATGACAAATCTGATGGGGTAAAATGTGAAATGTCTGCAAGCAACAACATATTATGAGGAATACACCAAACATAGAAATTGGTGGACCCTCCCTATAAAGATAGAAGGAGATTTGTCAGTGGAGGAAGGGAAATCACAGGGAATGTTGAGCTGAAGACAGAAACTCCAAAAGTGAGAGGTACGAACTAAGTAGCAATGACTGGCATGAACAGGGCACAAGAGTCTGTTCGGGTTTTAATGATTATAAAAGAGTGAAATGGAAG